AGGCTAGGAGTTGAGGTGCTGCAATGTAATTTTATTATGCACTGTGGCATGGTTTCATAACTCTGTATACGGTTTTACTCAAACAGAAGATTATATGGTTTTTAAAATGTGTTATGCTTGGGGTGTTTATCATTTATGAGATATCTGGTGATTTATGAGACTTTAGTGAACTTTTGTGAAAATTATTATTTGCGCTATTTGAGCAGTAAAAATTAACACCATTTATAGAACAAAACTGCAAACATTGATTCCAACCACAACATAAAACAAAGCAAATGTTATACAACATTACAGTGAAGATGTGTAACAAATGCCTAGAAGTTCTGAGTTTGTACAAATGTTTGTGCTGTACTGGTCACACACGTGTAGGTACGAGATTTCTGCCTGTTGCCTTTGCCTTCTGGTATAGGACGGTGTGGGAAGAAACCATCATTTGTGGGTGTTGGAGTTAAGGAGGGCTCCCAGCATTCACTGTTTTCAACATCCTGGGTGATGTGGAGGAGGGAAGAAAGTGCCTTTTTGAACTTTAGAAATGGTACTGCTGCTCCCAGTACACATTGTTCTCCATGGGCTGCAGGACATGGTAAGGGTCTTTGGTTGCAATGCTGAGCCAAAACATCCTCCATAAAGACTAATTTTTTACATCAGGTCCAGAAGCTGTTTTTGCCCATCCCTATCTTTCTCAGTGGTTTCTCTGGTCAATTCTGTGTTGTCTTCTCTCTCAGCAATGACACCTACTCAGTCCTTCTGTCTCTCTGCAAGGAGAACATCCCTCCACTCTTCTGTTTTCTTAGCCCTCTTCTGGGATGCTGACAAGAGTTCCCAAACATTTCAGTTTTGGTCTTTTTTTTTTCGTGCCCCGGAGATTTGCTAGGCATTTTGCAATTGGTGACAGTCCTGTCCTTGGATGCCATGCACAATCAGGCACAGGAGCTGGGGAAGCTGAGAAACCAAAGAAGTATTTATCGTAGTATTTCAAGTCTCCAGGCTTCAATGATAAACTGTTGCTTTTGACTCAGTTTTGGAATACTATTTTCACAGTCTCTTCCTAGTCTGGGGAGAACTTACATAAAGTAAGACATTTGCCATCTTAATTGCCTTTTGAATAGTAACCCTACTCCTATGTTGTTGTGGAGATTGGCTGGGTGTGCAGCACGGTTTGGGGATTAGGGCTGGTGTTTTATGTTTGGCTAGCAGGCTGAGTGGACAAACAGTAGCATTTGAGATTTGCATAGGTTGGGTGGTTGACTGGGAATCTGCAGGGGGAAGGCTAGTAATTGCACATGCACCTGTGCAGTCAGTCCTTCTATTGGAGGATGTTATCCTCATATGAATCACCAAGAAATAGACAAAGATTGTTAAAAAGGCAATGAGCAGACCAGAAAGATAGGCAGATATGTTACTCACCAGAATGGTCCCCTGCCCTGCCTCAGAAGTGCTGCATGACTGGAAGGGGAACCCTACCTATACAGGAAGCCCCAAGAAGGCTGCTTTACCTTGAAACATGATGCCAAAATACAGCATTGTCTTTGCCTTAACTTCTGTTTTATATCACCTGCCAACCTGCACAAAGTGTACAGCAAAATAAATAGCATTCTGCTGTAACTGTTTTGAACTTAAGGAGTTAATGCTGAGAGTTATTTCAGCTACCCAAGTGTCTTATGAACTCTATTCATTTTTAGTATTTCACTTTGGGAAATATATCTCATAAAATGCTAAGCTAGCTGAAATTTCTGGGTACTGCTCAAATTGTGAAGCGAAGAGTTTAGGGGGAGAGGGGGCGCTTTTGCATTTTTCTTCCTGTAACTGACATTTCAATAAACATGCCTACATTACAAGGGCTTTTTAAAAAAAATATAGAATGACTGCAGAGCAATAGCTTGACCAGGGGCAGAGAGTCCAGTGGTCAACCAGTTGGGAAAAGGAACATGAAGAGCACAGGAAAGGAGTGTTGGGGGTGGATGCCAGTAAAGCAAATAGCTGTGGGAACTGAAAATATCAAGGAATAATCCCCTTCAGATCTTAAATTCCCAGGCACAGATACCAATTTTTAGAACACAGCATGGTGGGGAGGGAGGGCTGGAAGCTGGCAAGGTTTGCAAAGGCTCTTAACTCCTGGTGGTGCCCACTGGACAACCAGAACAAAAGATTTTTGAAGTTATCCATACAATTTTATTGTAATATAGGACAGAATACTTACTGGGGGAGGTCTCCTTCCCAGCACTATCATGCTGAGTGTCCACCTGGGTTTTGGGAATTGTTTGCTTCTATGGGTTTGCCTTAGGTTTTCATGTGGGGAAAAGATCCTGGCTTCCACGGGAAATCCGGTCAGGGTAGGAGACTGTGTTCTCTTTGATGCCTTCAGTGCTGTCCATGACATACTAGGGTGTGGTGGCCTTCTTGGAAAAAATCTGATCCTCAAAGTAGGGGTGAGTACTTGGAGCACTGCCAGAGGTCCTGTTTCTGTTCTTTGTGTGTGGGGGGGGGGTTCTCCATAATTCTGCAGCTGCCTATTCCCAGTGTTGCAGCAGTGAGAAGTCCAAAGAGTGACCCCTCTTAGTTATTTGCTTTGATATACACTAGTATATCTTCACATTACGGTATCTGTTAAGGCAGGACTGAACTGGCTCCTCTCCCCAGATCACAAGAAAATCCCTGACCCTCTCTATGGCTCCATGCTCATGTAATGCTCCAGAAGTGCATCGTCACAAGTGGGGTGGTTCCTGGCTAGTGGTGAAATCCAGCCAACCCAGAGAAGTAGAGGGGACACAGGGTATCACATTATGGCCCTGGTGTAAAGCAATGTAGTATGGGATGGCAGTGGGAGGACTGAAAAATTAATCTGATATATAGATGCATCCACACAAATTGAATTTAATCTATTTTCAAAGTGGATTATCCAATTTGCACTAATTGGCCAGTTAATTTGGAAGAAACTTGTGTCATGTGTACGCAGGGCATTTTAATTTAAAAAAGAATGAAACACCCGACCCAACCGTGTGTGTATGAGCCCTAAATTTTAATAAAAGTTATGGGCTTGATGCAGATATTATTGGGTTAGGTTCTATGGCCTACGTTATGCATGAGGTCAGAATAGATTACCACAGTGTTCCCTTCTGGCCATAAAAATCTATGCAATTACAATTTGCAAGACACGGAATACCACAGAGTCTGATTACTGCCAATAGATCCGGCAGGAATCCATTAGGGCCTACCAGTTTGTGTACACACCTCAGAGTAACAGACTAGACAAATGAGCTACTCACACAGGAAAACAAATCTGACCAAGATGTATTCCTTGCCCCTTTTGGATCACAAATACAGAGCAATAGAAGGAATGAGTTTGCCGGTACACATGTTAATGAGCAAACAAAGATTTTACTTCACATAACATCTCAGTATCCCAGCAAAGCATATACCAACACTACATATACCCTTGGAAGAAAGGCAAAAAACAAACAAGTTTACCGTAACAGACATATAAAGCTGTTGTGCAAACTGACAACTGGATAACCAGTCCAAATGAGAATGAAAGTTAAAAAACTGGAAGCCAACAGAATCATTATCCCCATAGAAGCATCAGGATTACATATTGTGGAAATGAACAGTGGAAGGTGCTAGAGAAATGTTCATGATACTAGGAATAAGAGACATCCCAAATCTCTACTGATACAGGAGAAAGGTGAAAGCTTGTTTCTCCATGGAACAGATAAGGCAACAAAAATCTGCATCACTGCAGGCAGACTCATTACAGGCACTAATATCCCCAAAATCCCCAAATGCAAAATAAACTCAGTAAATAAATTTCAGTATTTTTATTCTGAAATTAAATGACCTAGGTAATAAAAACATATTTGTTAGTTATATTAAAATGTTGACAAATTCAAAACAAAAAGCTAGGCTCCAGAGCAATAAAGAAAGAGGACAAAACTGCAAAATATTACTACTGGACAGGGGCGGCTAATTTTTTTCCCCCAGCATCTTTCCACAGGTCAACTTTCCAAAATTTACTGTATGAAAGCTGTATCATGAGATCAGACCTCTGGAGATGCAGATGACCAAGTGTGTCACACCTTTGCACGAGTTACTAAGAACTCGCTAAATAGAGGGCAGAGTTGTTTGAAAATCCAACTACATCTCAAATATTTCTTAAAAAACAGATGAAGAATTTGCCCATCACCAAAATTTCCTTATTATAACAGCTCAAGCAGTATTTAAATATGTAGCAAACCTCAATTCCAGAGATTCCAAGTGAGATTAAACTTCATCCATACTGTACATCCCTATGTGTTGCATAGTATTAATTTAATTTCCAGGAACCTTAGAAATGCATACATCAGCCACTGCGTTTCATTTCATTACTCAACATTCCATTTCAAAATTGGGTGAGGCAACTGTCAGTATGGTTAGCTGGATATTTTACTTCAGCTCTCATCAATGTACAGTTTAATAATAGATTCTTTGAAAACGAAGGGCCAAATATTTAGAAGAATGTTGAAGCTTACTGAACAGAAACATATATAGCTTTTAAAAACAAAACTAAAGCAGTTCATCAGGATTATAAAAATACCCTGACAATCCTTCTCTGTCTGAAATTCTAATTGTTTCAACAGTATTTAAGCACTCGGGCAGGGACTGTCTTTTCATTCTGTGTTTGTACAGCACCTAGCACAATGGAGTCCTGGTCCATGATTAGGATGCCTAGGCGCCATGGCAAATAAAATAAACAAAAACAAAAACAAAAATAAAAAGAGTTAGCCCTACATATGGGTATGTATTTCTTCATAAACCATTACTATATACCTCTCATGGTTTCTTTTGCTGATGCCCTGTTCTAACTCTGACATATAATTCATGTGACAGAGTCTCATAGAAACTAGTTATAAATAAGAAGTGAGAAATGATCACTTTTACTGTGACAGAAGGGAGTCTATTTCTTCACAGAGGTACTTGATCACACTTTCATAATCATTCTTCATTGTGAACACTATTTTGCTTACCTTGCGTGGCTGAAAATCATACTTCACACAATGCTGAAAACCTTTTCCTTTTGATTTCAACGACGTAACTATTAAGCAGTTGCCAACGAAATGAGCAGAGTACCCAACTCCTTTGCTAGTGCGAAAACTGAAAAGAAAGAATAAATAAGGACAAAATAGTATAAAACTCTCTGGGACAAAGGGAATTTTGGGCACAACCCCCATTAAATCTTTACAAGCAATATAACTTTTGAAGCACAAAGCAAAATATTTTCCTTTCTTTTAGCTAATTATTAGCTGATGTATCAGGGAAAATAGATTAAATACATCTACACACATTAATATAGGTATTTAGGCAATATTAAATCTCTGTCTCAAAAACAGCAGTTATTCTCATAAAACTGCTGGGAGGTAGAAAATATCATCTTCACTTTACAAAGAGAGAAATGTCGCACAAAGACATTAAGGGCCAGATTTTTTTCAAGAATTTAGGTACCTAAAAATGCAGATAGATGCCTACAGGTAATTTCAAAAGAACCTAGGCAGCTAACTTCCATTTTGGGAGTCAGGCACCTTAGTGCTTTGAAAATCCCATTAGGTGCCTACATTCCTCTAAAAATATGTCCATAAGTAACCACTAGGAACTGAACCCAAATATCCTGAGTCACTGTTCAATGCCACAATCACAAGATCATTCTTCCTTTATGTTACATAATATGTAACATATCATATATGTAGGTCAACAATTAGGTGCCTAAAATTAGGTTCCTAATCCATATTCAGACACCTAAACAGAAGGGACCTGATTTTCAAAAGTGATGAGCATCTACTAACCCCTCAATGCGCTATGTCCTGTGACATTATCTCCTCCCAATTCTGATTTCTCTGACTCCCTGTATCATCCTGTCCCCTACACATCTCATCTAATTTCTTTTCCCCTTTGCTTTCTAAAATGACTGAATTATCCTATCCTAAAAAAGCCTCTTTTACCCCCATCTGCCACTCCATCTACCATCCCTTTTCCTCCTCCCCTTTAAATCCAGGTGCTTTGACAATGGTGTTTTTTCCTTTGCCTTGACTTCTCCTCCCCCCGGTACAATCCTCTTAAGACTTACCATAAGAATACAAATGACAGTGCTTTTTAGTCATTTCTATCTTCATCTTACATTCATCCCTGTGCTTTCAATTGCCATTTGCTCCCTCTTTGGGCTTTCTCGTTTTTAATATTCAGCTTACTGTTCTACTTTCCACAACTTCGTCAGGAGCTCTTCCGTCTTCTGCCCTTGCCCGCTTTTCATCAGTGTCCCAATGGATTTTGTCCTTGGTCCTCTCTTCTCCTTCTACAGCTTATTCCTTGGGAATCTCAACTGCTCAGTCCCACATATGCAATTCTGTCAACTACCAACTAAAGTTTTAACTCAGTGAAAACCTCTATTTCCTCTCATCCAAACTCTCTTCTGTCTCTATCATTATCAACAGCTCAATTATCCTGTCACTCATCAAGGCTCACAAGCTACGTGCCATATTCCAAGACAAAAAACTATGTTAAAATGCACTTAAGGTTGAGACTACATATCAGTAACTTAAAAGGGAAAATACATTACGGGGATTAATTATCCCAAATGCAAGCATTAAAACCCAAAGAAAAGAAATCCAAACATATTAAGGTATGGAAATACACAGTTCAGGCAACCAAACAAACTTCACTCTTCCTGATAGCAATGCCATGACAGCAATACAATTATGAAAACACATTAGTTTTTGTGGTCCCAGATTGCATTAAACTGATTTTTAAAAGACATTTTTCATATATTTTAACCCCATCATGGTGTTCACTACAGGACAGAGTCAAAGTTGTTTGGTTGCCTTTTACTGTGCACAAATATGTCCAGTCTTCCTCATAGGGCTGACTCATTACAACTAATACAATTGTTGCATACAAGATAGTTCCTGACCTGACCCTAACTGTATTATAACAATTAGATAGTTAATAAATTATCTTAATTACAACCTACTTTAATCAAATATAGCCTAAGCACAAAATTTCAATTAACTTTAACTCTGTGGAAAGTTTGAAGAGCCTATGTTAGTCTGTTAAGAAAATCTGGGATGACAAAAAGACACGCAGATTCTAAATTTCTTAAAGGATGCAGTTTTTAATTAGTTTTTAACAAACTAATTAACAGCTTTGCTTTTCAATTCTTAGAAAATTCATTCTGTACTCAGAGTAAGTGTTGTAAGTTTAGGGAGGATATGCTACATTTTCCATGCATAATAAAGATAATGAATCCCTGCTTTAAGCGCAAAAGATCACTCAACCTTTACTACAGAGTCACAACCAGCCCCTACACAATTACAATTCATTCTCTCTCCCTTATATATTCATAGATTATTTAGGCCAGAAGAGACAATTGTGATCATCTGATTTTAGTCTGATCCCCTGCATAACAAAGGGTATATGATTTCCCTGTAATAATTTCTGCTTCATGTCCAGTAGCTGTGCTTGCAGTAAAGCAGCTCTTTTAGAAAAACATCCTGTCTTGATTTAAAAATGTCCAGTGATAGTGAATTTACCACAACCTGTAGTAAGTTGTTCCAATGATTAGTTCTCCCCACTGTTAAAATGTGGACCTTATTTCTAGTCTGAATTTGTTCAGCTTCAAATTTTTACTGGTAGACTGGTTGGCTGCTTTAAGCCTAATGCATTTTTTATAAAGGACAGGACTGTGTGTTGTTCTGAGTTTCCTCCACTGAGCTGGCAAGTTCAGATTCTGATAGGATGATCTCTTCCACATAGAATATGCTTGAGTATGCTCAGTTTTGGCATTCAAATTTTTGTGAGATTGCACTCCCCACTAGTTCATACATATGGGGTCTTTGCCTAGGCAGCAGGAAGAAAGGAATCTTAGCTCCATTAAGGGCCCTCCCCTTGAGTTGGGAGGGGGGAAGCATCACCTGAGCTGGTGGAACTGCCCAGAGGGGCTCAGATAAGCCATTGGCCCCTGGACACTTTTCTAGGGAAGGTATATATGCCCGGTCCTCTCCTGTAGTATACTGTGGTACTGTCTCTTGAAAATTAATCATGCATAATTACTGGAGGGCCTCCCCACATAAGGGGTCTCTCACATGATGCAAGCACACAGAGGTCTGCAATGCATCCTCAGAGTCTATAGGAGCCATCTTGGTAACTATCTATTAAAGAGGATTGTGGTTTAAAAAGACAGTTACCTTTTCCGTAACCGGTGTTCTCTGAGATGTGTTGCTCATGTCCACTCCATGTTAGGTGTGTGCGCTCGCCACATGTACTGGTGCTGTAAGTTTTTCCCTTAGCAGTATCCATAGGGGACCAGCTCTGGCGCCCTCTGGAGTGGCACCCACATGGCACGATATAAGGGGCGCCGCCAGCTCCCCCACCCTCAGTTCCTTCTTGCCAGAAACTCCAACAGTGGGGAAGGAAGGCGGGTTGTGGAACGAACATCTCAAAGAACAGCGGTTACAGAAAAGGTAACTGTTTTCTTGTTTGAGTGCTTGCTCATATCCATTCCATATTAGGTGACTCCAAAGCAAGACCCCTGGAGATGGGTAGGAGTTCACCGACGTGTAGATTGCAACACAGCTCTGCAGAACCCAGTGTCACCCCGGCCTGCTAAGTGATGGCGTAATGAACAGTAAACGTGTGGACGGAGGATCACGTCGCAGCTCTATAGATGTCCAGGATAGGGATGTGCACCAGGAAGGCTGTCGAAGACGCCTGCACTCTCGTCGAGTGGGCTCTAACGATCGGCGGCAGCGGAATCCCTGCCAGGTCATAGCAGGTCCTTATGCATGAGGTAATCCAATTCAAAATCCTCTGCGAGGACACCGGGTGACCCTTCATCCTATCCGCTGTACAGATGAAAAGTTGAGTCGATTTATGGAAAGTCTTGGTACATTCTAAGTAAAAAGCCAAAGCCCTCCGGACATCCAGGGCATGAAGACGCCTCTCTTTAATGTGTGCTTTGGGACAGAACCCCGGGAGCAAGATGTCCTGGTTCATATGGAAGGCGGAGACCACGTTTGCTAGGAAGGCCGGGTGGGGCTGCAACTGAACCTTATCTTTGTAGAAGACCGTGTACGGCAGTTCTGAGATCAAGCCTTTAATTTCCAAGACCGGTCTCACCGATGTCACCGCCACCAGGATTGAGACCTTCCATGACAAATGGGAAAGGGAGCAGGAACCCAGCTGTTCAAAGGATGAGCCAGTGAGCCTAGGAAGGGCCGAGTTAAGATCCCACTGCAGGACAGGAGCCCGCACCTGTGGGAAGAGTCTCTCCAGCCCTCTCAAGAATCTGACCGTCATGTCATGGGAGAAGACTGTCTGTCCTTGGATCGGCGGGTGAAAAGCGGAGATCGCCGCAAGATGCACTCTAATGGAAGAGTGTGCCAGGCCCTGGTTCCTCAAATGGAGCAGGTAGCCCAGGACAGCCTGTATGGAGGAATGGGGGAGAGACACCCCGTTTGGATGCCCAGCAGGAAAACCTCGTCCACTTGGCCAGGTAAGTCAGTCTAATTGAGGCCTTCCTACTTTCCAGGAGGACCTATTGGACTCCTTCCGAACAGGTCCACTCCTCCGGGTTCAGCCACGCAGCATCTATGCCGAGAGGTGGAGGAACCCGTGGTTGGGGTGTAAGAGCCGACCGTGGTCCTGTGACAGCAGGTCTGGTCGGCTAGGCAAGGGACCAGGGAGGTGCCGCTGACAGGCTCATGAGCATGTCGAACCAATGATGGCGAGGCCACGCTGGGGCAATCATGGTAACCTGTGCCTCATCTCTCTTGATCTTTGCCAGGGCACTGCTGATGAGTGGAATCGGAGGAAACGTGACAGGAGGAAGGCATTGGAGAGCGAGTCCTTGCTCAGACCCTGTCAAGAACAAAACCGGTGGCATTCCCTGTTCTGTCTGGTAGCGAACATGTCTACTTGGGGAGTTCCCCACCTTTGGAAGATCATGCAGGCTACCTCTGGATGGAGCAACCACTCGTTGTGAGAGGAGAAGTCCCTGCTGAGCTGGTCTGCCAGCATATTCCTGATGCTGGGAAGGTGACAAGCTTCCAGGTGGATTTCATGGCTGATGCAGAAATCCCACAGGTGGAGTGCCTCCTGACAGACAG